GCGCGAGCATGCAATGAAGACTCTCGCCCGGATCTGGGCGGTCGCTGCGGGCGAAATTGAGCGGGACGACGAGGTTGTCGCCCCTCTGCTCAAGGATGGACCATCAAAGATCTTCGATGCTTTCTATACTAATGACCAGGATATTCATGTCATGATTGACCGTGTTCTATTTGAGATCCTCCTGCCGCTCAACTACCCCCCTGTCAAGGCGAAGTTGACCCGCAGCAGCTCCACGCAGTCACAGAAGCAGAAGGGATCGCAGGCACAGGAGGGCGATGCTGAGGCTGATGTGGACAAGGTCCGCACCCGTCGTATCCTGACCCTTTTGAGGGGTATGGACGACAAGGCGAAGAAGGTCTTCTTCGCCATGCAGGCCCGTCAAATCTCGATGAGAACTGCGATGACCATCTATTTGCAGGCCTGCGAAGACTACAACGTGAGTGAAGCCTGCTATCCCAGGTTCTTTGATCGTCCGCTAACATCTCTATCCAGGGCGGAGTGATGGAAAAAGATCAAGACCGGATTCAAGCTCAATTGAGCAAAGTTATCGATACGTTATCCAAAACGTTCCCCGATCCCTCCAGAACGTCTGCAGATCTGTGGAAGTTTGCCAAAGTGCATGACCGACGTGGCTACCAGCTTATTCGCTTCGCTATGGCTGCCGTCAGCGATTATCGAACGGTTATCAAGGCTATTAAAGAACTCGCAAGGAGGGTACAGAGTGGCAACAATACCCCACTGCTTGAAACTCTTACACCTTTGCTGTATCGCAGCAGTTCCCTCGTGTTCAACCGGAGTCACATCCCTGCTGTCATGAGTCTTTCGAGGACCGACGAGAACGGACTGGCAAACCCTGCTCACGAGATGTTACGAGAAATCTCCTCTCGCAACCCCGAGGTTCTGGAGGCACAAATTCAAGAGATGTGCAAGGACCTTGAATCACAAGCGCCGAGCGCCACCACGAAGGATAGCGCGGGGACGGAGGAGATTCTCAAAGCGTGCTCCGGGTTTGCAAAGAAGTTGCCTTCCAAGCTTCCCAAGGAGCGTAAGTTCTTCCAGGCCTTGGTCAACTATGCGCTCCACAGCCCATCACCGAGGGCTGCTAAACATGCTGTTTCAATTCTGATGGCTGTCGCCGACAAGAAGGAGATGTACGCTAAGGACCTGATTCACAAGTGTGTCTCCGGTTGGAGCTACGGGTCCGCTCGATTTCTGACCAAGCTCGCCACCTTATCCCAGCTCAACTTGTTGGCATCAAAGGAGGCAGATGATGAGCGCGACGCAATCATCTCCATTTCAGTCAACCAGGTTTTGCTTTCCAATCGTTCACCGGAACCGAATGCCGGATATTCGTGGTCGGATTCCGTGGACGACGAGACTGCGGCCAAAGAATGGGCTCTCAAGATCATTGTCAATCGTCTCCGAGCTAAGGATGCTTCCGATGATGCTGATGACTTCCGTGCTCATGCAGAACCCGTTTATGACACCTTGAACAAGCTTGTGATGAATGATGGAGAGCTCTCGAAGAAGAAAGACACACCGGCAACTCAAAAGCCTAGACTGCGTCTTCTCGCAGCAAGGTCACTGTTGAAGTTGTGTGCGACCCACGGGCTATGCGACCAATTGCTTACGCCGAAGGACTTCAACTCGATTGCCCTTGTCGCACAAGACCCTGTCCTCGAAGTTCGGAGTGGCTTCATCAGTCAGCTCAAGAAGAAGCTCGTGCAACAAACGCACTTGACCTATCGTTGGTACACGGTTCCCTTCTTGCTTGCCTTTGAGCCACATGCTAGCCTCAAGGAGAGCACCCTTACCTGGCTGCGCTCTCGAGCGGCATACTTCTCCCAGCAAATGAACGGCAAGCGAAGCGACCAGCAAACAGTCATGGAGTCTATGTTCTCGCGTCTTCTCTCCCTTCTTGCTTATCATCCCGATTACCCGCCTGCGGGTATGGACGACTCCACCCGAATTGAGGAATTGACCGACTTCGCACGCTACATCCTGTTCTACCTCCAGGCTGTGGCGAACGAGCACAATCTGTCGCTAATTTTCCACATCGCGCAGCGTGTCAAGCAAACACGCGACGGCATCACCAAGTCTGATGAGATAAGTACGCGCCTTCACACACTTTCGGACCTCGCTCAGGCGACCATCCGTCGGTTTGCCGACATCTACGCTCAACAGCGCCGATTCGGTGGTGCAAACGGCGGCGCCAATATTCTGCAGACCTACCCGGGCAAGATGGGCGTGCCGAGCTCCATCTTCGCTCCGATGGGCAGCCATCGCGAAGCGCAGGAGGTGGCAGACAAGAACTTCTTCCCGGAAGATGGCGAAGAGCTGCTGGACCGCGTCGTACGGTCCGTCATGAAGACGAAGAGTGGGTCTCAGGGCGCCGCGAAGAAGAGAAAGACCGACTCGAACGAGACCGGTGGCGATACCGGCTCCGCCAAGAAGGCGAAGAAAGAGAGCAAAGAGAAGCCGGCTCGGCCTCCTCGGAAGTCGTCGGGCTCAGCTGGAACGTCCAAGGCGCCGAAGCGGAAGAAGAAGGACGAGGACGGATGGACTTCGGATGGAGGTGCGGGTGGCGGAGCCAGTTCCGCTGCTGCCGCTGCTGCTTCTCGTAGACGTAGCAGCAGAGGAGCCTCCAGGAGGATCAGCTACGCTGATCGAGACAGCGACGAGGACGACTTGGAGATGGACGACTGGGATCAACAAGAGGAAGAAGAGGAGGAAGAAGAAGAGCTGGAGGAGGAGGATGAGCAGGAAGTGGAATCTGAGAACGACGAGCCATCAGAGGAGGCAGATGTCGACGACGACGACGCCAAGGAAACCCTAAACCCCAAAGAATCGGAAAAGGCAGCCAACTCAAGACTAGACAAGGACCTTGACGAGATCTCCGACTCGGATCTCAGCTCTCCATTGTCATCGCCGCCCCCGATCTCGCCTCCGAAGAAAGCCACCGGCGGCCGAGCCGCGACACGTGGCAAAGGCAGCACCAGTCTCGCAACACGGCGGTCGTCTCGGAGATGACGATGGTCTTATGATGGCGATGATGATGAGGACACACCCAAGTCTTAGTAGCTACCAGCTAAACAACCAAGCTATTTGCCTACCAGGGCAGGGGTTTTGAAAGGAGGGGCAGAGGAGGATGGCGATTGAGACCATATCCACCACGGACGATGCCGTCGAAGCCAAAATCCCCCGAATCTATGTTTTATCTATCTGTCTCTTATTTGATCTATTTTCCATCCATCTCGGTGTGTCTGTGGTGGGCGTGAGTGAGTGAGTGGTTGACTGCTCCACGAATCTCTATGTATAGTGAGAAGCGTTGTTTATTTTTCCATACCATACCATTTTCCTTCCATCTTATCTTATCGACCTGAGTTATTTCGAACGTTCGTCTCGTGTCGCTAGCAAATATTGTATTCTTTGTATCGGGATCATGCAGGGGTTAGGTGTCATTCTTCGTGTCTATCCATCTATTCTTATGGCAGGTATTATGCTATCGATTTCCTACGAGGACTTCGCGTAAGCTGATTCATGGGTGTATGTATCCTACAATACTCTTACTGTTCCTGGGTGTAGCAGACGTCCATGCTCGTCAGTAACTAGTCCTATACTCTGTTTCTCCTCAATCGCAATCTAGCTTCCATTTGTCTTGTAGATCTGAATCATCTCAACAGTTCACTTCAGCAGGTAGGCGGTGGACTAAGCTTGACTAGCTGTGGGCTGTGGGCTGTGGGCTGTGCATTATGCGTTGTAAGTTGCCAGATACGGCCAGTAGCTCATCCTCCATCCTCCGTCCTCTCACTTACTCACCCACCATCCTCATCCAACAAACCCAAACATCCAGAACAGCCCTCCCCTCCCCTTCCCTTCCCTTCCCACAGACCCATCACCCCCGCGAATGGACATACTACCACAGATAGACACCAATTTCAACCAGCGAATCTATAAGCCGACAAACACGGTGGGCGTATACATCACATGCGTATGTACATGTACATGTAGTACAGTATCAAGCACCCTTCAGGTTGCTTAACAGTAATAGTTACAGTCACAGTCACAGTCACAGTCACAGCAACAGCAACAGCAACAGCAACAGCAACAGAACAACACATCCACCTGCGGACGTGGAAGCTAAACCACAGTCCCCTGGACTGTACGTCCGGGAACACTGCCTCCCTATTCCTCCTCCTCCTCCTCCTTCTTGTTCATACTAGAGAAAAATTGGCTTGGGTTCCCATTGTGACGACTAACTACCCCACCCTAGGGTTGGTTCACCTATCGGGGCATTCTGAACTAGTAAGTGTTGAACTTCAAAGTAAGCGAAGAAAAGCCCGGGATTAGGAGGTCGGTCGTGTGCGTACACGACTCCCGGGGATCATGGATGCGGGTTCGATCTGGTGAGATTTCCAGGCGTTGAATCTGGGCCCGGGAGAGTACGGTACTGTATAGAGTCAAGCTGAGGGACGCGGCTGATATGGAAAATGCAGGGCACGCACGCGGTGTGGTGCTGGACCTCTTTCTGGAGTCTTCGGTGAAGAGACGGCGGGGGAAGCAGATGTAGAAGGTTCGGGTGGTTTACGTTGGCTCGCTCATTCGAGAGAAAGAGCACCTTTGGGTTCAGATCCGAATAGTCCGAGGCAGGGACCTATGAAGTAGAAGTAGAAATTGTATTGGTAGTGGTAGGGGTAGGGGTAATCGTGGTAGTAGTGGAAAGATAAAAATGAGACGAGCTGAACTGATAAACCAGACCGTTTTCTCCACACTCTCTCCAAGACAGGAACTCGCTAGAAGAAACATGTACATCAAGTCAAAGGGAAGGGGGATGACTCGTCGTTATGATATGTGTGCAATTTGTGTCTGATTGCAACACAAGAGGCCCACCGTTGCTCAGTGTGCGTCTGTGTAAGATGATGAGTAGGAAAAAAGACTTTACAGATACAGGGAAGGGTAACCACAGCCAAGTGCTGCCCTCCCATCATTCAGGTCATTATTCACAGAGGTGTATCAACACTGCTCCCGCCATCCCCTACGGCCGCTCTAGCTGCATCCGCCGCCGCCGTCCTAGCAACTCGTTCATTGACATTCTTGATGTGTGTGCCGTTGGTGAGGTGCACTTTAAAGTTCTCGACCGTCATACCAGGACCGGGGTTGTAGAGTTTGCCCGGACAATCATGGCATCGGATGCGTGGGAGGTATTGGTATTTCAGCCGGGAATTACCGACTTGATTGCTGGCATTGATTACCGGCTGCCCGGTTTCCGTGTCGACGGCCGTATACCGCATCGTGGCCTCGAAGGAGTCATTGGGATAAGACCGGTTCAGCTGCGTCAATTCCGCTACAAGCCAGTTGGGAGCCTGAGGCTAAGTCAAACTATGTTAGTCTGTGGTTGTCTGAGGGTTTTGATCCTCAACTGACTGCCAGATCTTGCGGCCGGGGCCGGAGGCGTGTGAAGAGGACTTATGTAAATCGTTGTTTACTCACCCCGGTGGCTCCCATCTGTGGGGTATGGGGAGTGTCTCCCGCTCTGGCCTGTGGAGTCGGCACTGGCCGTGTCGCCGACGATGGAGCATTTGATACGCGGACTTCAGGCTGGGACTGTACAGGAGGAGCCATGGGAGTCGGGGTGGGGGTTTGGACTTGAGGGGTGCCTTGCTGGGATGGCGGTTGTGCAACTGGGGTGGAACTCGCGAGGCTTGCTATTGATTGAATCCCGTGCGCAAGATACTGCTTGAATTTCTCTTTCGAGATTCTCAACTTCACAATCAACTTTTCCGGCTCATCCACACTCTCTTCCCGAAATTCACGCCTGCGTGATGCGGCTCTCGCCTCGTTATGAGGCTCGGGCGTGGCGGATTGGCCCAGGCTTGCCCGGAGCGCGGCATGTGCTGCGGTGGCGGCTCCTCTCATACCTCGCGTGCGCGCCGTGCCCTGAGCTAGGTGAGGCCCAATCGCCGGAGATGCCGCAATCGAGGATTCGTCACTATCCGACTCTTCCGACTCCTCTGCTCCGTCGCGCATGCCAACAGCAGCACGACGGGTGCGACTTGAGCCAGAGCGCTTGAAAACATTACTCTCATCCATAGAAGCTGCACAATTTGGAATGACGGTTGAAACAATCATTGTGCGGATAGTACGTTGGCGATCCTTGAGATCAGGCAGGGCCGGCCCACCACGGCGGTTGACGGACCGTTTCTGTCGGCGCTGGTCTCGCGAAATTGAGACTTCCGTCCGTTCGAGCTCAGCCTCATTAAGCTCGTATAGATATGGCGTGAATTCCTTGGCCGCCTGGAATGGTCTAAAGGATGAAGTGAGAGGAGAGGGGAGGAACGCGGTCTTGAGATCAGGATCGTCAATCGGACGTCCATCGAATGGGTGAGAAAGGATGTAAAGTGACTTGACAAAGAGCTGTGATTGTTCTCGAATCGAGTGCGCAATGGCGGTGGTAAATTCGCCGGAGAGAGACAGGTCGTCCGTCATTCGTGCTGCAAAGGTTTCCGGGGAGTTTGAAGGATCATTGATGTCCCATTCGAACTGGTCGATCAACGTATGCTGGCCGATGGTAATATTGAGTTTGACGAGAATGCGCATCTCATCGTTCTTATAGGCACTGTAAGGAAGGTGGGGGTCAAGAGGATCTTCTTCCATGAAAATATGGGGGTAGTAATCGCAAAGCTGTTCCTGAATACTCTGCGAGATCATGCGCACCAGCGGGGCACACGTTTCCATAGGTAGACCCAGGTCTTCGACGAGTTTCTCGGCAAACAGCTCCGGCGAGACCACACGATCATGAAGGTTCCACGTAAACGTATCTCGGATTTTGATCTTCTCCCAATCGATATCCAGGCGAATAGGGACCAGATCTTCCACTTGTTCGTTTTGTGTTTTCAAATCTTTGCGAGAGACCCGGAGCTCCCTCGTCCGTCGATTTCCGGGACGTCGACGGTTGGCTGGGTATAGCAGCTGGGGATGTTGACTCCGCAAATCGGTGCGAGCATTTCCAAATCCTTCATAGCCCACACCGTACAACGCCGCGGGGTTCAGGTGAGTCTCGCGCCGGACCGCCAAGAAGTAATCCCGCTCCGCGCGTTTCTGCTGCAGAAGTTCGTGGCTGGGATTCTGCCAAGCTGTCAGTGCGGAATGATGGAACTCGCGATTGACGTAGTCTTCGAGAAGAATCTTGTCCGCTGGCGTCTCGCGGACGCGCACTGGTAGGCTTTCCGTGGAGGGTGGAGCTTGTATGACGGAACCATCCCGCGATCGTTTTCGGCTTGCTGCTGATCCATTGGTGGTATTAGGCGAATTATTGCCATTGAAAGCATCATGGCTCGATTCTTTGGATGGAAGAGGAACGCCCGAAGCTGCAAGGACGGCCTTCGCATTCTGTTTACCCTCCGCGATAGCATCGGCTCCGTCTACACCTTGCCCTGACGAGGGTTCGGAGGCAGCCATATTATGGTAATCCGCGCTTGTGTTAGACATGCCAGAGCCGTCGTCAAATTGCGCATCAGAGGGTAATTGTCCGGTGTGAGAGGTATTGGAAGATGGCATCATCGATGATAAGATTTTATGAGATCGAGATGGAGGCACGTTATCGCTCGCGCAGAGGGCTCGATAAATCTGCGAGCGACACGATTGTTTCGAAGAGAAAAGGCGACGAGGACACTAGTCTATTACGATAGCATCCTTGGGAGGACTATGCGATGAGAAACAAACCAAGTCAGTTAAGCGGCCTTCGATAATCTGCAGTCATCGCATTGGAGACGCGACGGCGCACCAGACATTGCGGGTGAAAACCCTTCGAAAGGGCATGTCGCAAGACCGCCACCCGTGAGTCGCTCTCCTTTGCCATGATCCGGAGCCGTTCAGCAACGCGCGAAAACCTATGGAGGAAGATCTGCGCGAAGCTGAGGGAGCGAAGCGGGAAAGGGAAAGGACAAGCTGCGAGGAAGTGACATACCTGCCAGCAAAATGGCAAGGGAATAGAGGAGAGGTAGAGAGGATGAGGGGGGGGGGGGGGGGAAAGGTAGGAGGGTAGTACGGATGGCAGGCACGCGGGAGAATCAAGGTAAAGATACAACTAACCAAGAAAGCCACCAGCTCGAGAATGGGAATTGAATGGGGAGACGGTGATACCAAGCTAAACCAGCAGACGAGTCGGGGGAAAGCTGGTTCCAATGAGCAGGCAGGTGGGAAAGACAGGCAAGAGTGGATGGGTCTGGTCTGGTCTGCTGGTGCCGGGTCTGGGTCTGTCTGGTCGGTCTGTGTCTGTTTGAATGAGGGAGAATGGCACTGGACGGGGGGACGGGCGAGGCTAATCAGCTGACGCCGCTCCCGCTGTGGTCGGCAGGTCGGGGAGCTTCGGTTCTGCGGAGCGAAGCTTTATTCACCCTTCGGTTGATAGCTATTTAATTTCTCAAATAGAATGACGATTATTCGTCGCAGACCAATCGTTCAAGGAATAAGAATTGTGGGGGGGGGAAGAGGGGTGGTTGGCAAATGGCCAAGTGTATCAGAGATCAGAGTGATAAAAGACGCGATTTCGATGCGGGAAGAGAAGAAAGAAAGGGAAGAGAAAGAGAAAGAGAGAGAGAGAGCAGAGAGAGAGAAGAACAGCAGCGGCGAAGAGCATAGAGCGGAAAACCAGAGGGAAACCGCCGTTACAAGTCTCTACCCTCTGGCCGGGCTCCCGGGGGGGAAAGGAAATGTCATTCAGGGAGCAAAAGGGAAGAGGCCAATCGCATGGAGAGGAGCTTGACTGCCTTTTAAGAGCTCCAGGAAATCCTTCAGGGCCTTTTTGAAGCTATTCAAACTCATCTTCATGCTGCTTTATCTTCTGGTCCGATCTCAACCTCTCTTAAACTTGTCATTGTATCGATGCTGTAATACCGTCGCTCGTTTCGTACGGTAACCGACGCACTCCCGTGCGCTATACCAGTTAAGCTCATCATGTGACACTGGACTTTCCCAAAGATGGTAAGTCGGTGCTCCGTTAGCGCAAAAGTGTCTCCAACGGTGGATCTAGTCTTTCGACTCCGTACCGAATCGGTGGCCAAGCATACGAAATGTTACCGTACCGTATGGACAGTCTTGTTTTGCAGATGTCAACTCGTCGGTGGTTATGTCCAGAAATTGTTGCAATTATCAAATCTTCTCCGTCATCTTACTGGCCTAAGAGCACATCGATCACCACTGCCCGGTGGTCCGAGTTGAATACCCCATCTTCGAACCGATTTTCCAGAACGGCATACCCCTCGACTATCCACGGCTGGCGACCGTGGCTGAAAACCTTGTCCGCCGTGGACTCCAGTAGGATGTAGTCAATGCGAGTGGGAGGCTGCCCTTCATGGCCAAACCCGGTCCACGTCAGATAGTGGCCGTAATGCTCCGTGGGTGTCACCAACTCGGCCGCGTCGGCCAAGGGTGACTCCGGCGCTGTCAACACGGTATAGGCCTCCTGATCCTCCTGACTGTTGAAGTCGCCTGCAAGGAATACCCCCGAGATGTTGCTGCTGCCGCTGCCGCCACCTGCGGACGTCGCCTTCGCCCGATACTCCTCGATCTTTGCCAGGATGATATGGGCGGCCTCGAACCGGGACCGGGATCCCTGATCGTCGAGATGGGTGTTCAATGCCAGCACGGTGCGGCGGCTCGCGCGATGGGTGAAGACGCCCACCGTGACGATGCGGGTCGAGGCGGCATCCCAGCTCTTCGAGGGCACATCGGGGGTCTCGGATAGCCAGACGGTCTGCCAGTCTCGGAGCTCCCAGATTGCGGGCTGGTAGAAGATCGGAGAATACTCGCCTGCTTCGCGACCATCGTCTCTGCCAACTCCGATGTACTCCCAGGTCTGGCTGGTGGGGGAGGGAGAAGGTGGGTTCAGCCCCGCGTGTATATCCACCAGCTGGTTATGCAGAACCTCTTGTAGGCATATGAAGGCGTTTTGATGGCGTGTATTATACAGTAGCTCGTTCAGGAGCAGCTGCTTTCGATCGGCCCAGGGTAGCTCGCCCTGGAAAGGAGATGAGGTTGCATACCGGATGTTATGGGTAAGGATACGGAGGGGGAGCTCTGCAGCTACTTTCATAGTGGAGGATTATTTATTTATGGGAATCCAAAGTATGTAAAGTATGTAGAATGAGGCTACTGTGGTTCGAAGTAGATTGTTGTCTCGGCGGTTTGATGGCTTTCGAGTGCGAGTACGTACAGTACTCGTCCTTGTGGGAAGTAAGAGTGGGGAAGACTTCAAGCGGAGAATGCGGAGAAAGCTCGAGGTCACTGCCGATGGTCCGCCGGTGATTGGGCGTTGCTGCACGATCCATTCTTTGTGCTGCTCAAGAAAGTGACCGGAGACAGAGGTACCTAGTAACTGCGAACGATTATTAACTGTAGTGCAGTAAATAATAGGTATATTGCTGCTAGGTATTACACGAGTTCACTTGAGGCCTTCTATCGTTCTTTCCAGTCGATGGTATTTAGACGTTGCTACAAATCTGTTCTGAAGTCCTGCTACGCAGACTTGTGTCATTTTGCCTCTGCAAACTACATCCGTGGAGTCTCTCGAGTTTTCCATGTTGATTTATGACTTCGCTGGACTCAACTAATCGACTGTTTATCGAGAGTCTTCGTCCCCAAGACAAAGCTCAGTAGCTGCATCTACTGTAGGTCTCCCACATCGATTGTCTCGTGCACAACTAGAGTGCAACGCACATTTCTGTCACTTTTATACCTTGACACGGACTGAGTAGCACAGACAATCACTCCAGCCTGGAGACTTCAGGTTGTGGTTGCGCCGCTTTGCGACGCTCAGCGTTTACGCCGATCGTGAGCCAAGAGAAATGGTCCGCTTAGTCAGGACTTCTGTTGCGCGCCAGAAACAGCTGTGGCATCTAATCCTTCAATCCATGTCAGCTTATATGCACCGACCATTGGGAATTTCGAGGTCAGAAGTCTCGCCTATGACGTCCATGTTGAAAGTGGATGAGCGAACCATACTGAGAGCGGACTGCTCTGCCTCAGGAAGGATTCTGAACCCCATCTGCCTATTTATTTAAAACAGTCCATCCAACCGGCGTTGTCCTCGTGGTGCTGACACTGCAATCCTGCACGAGTGGGGCAGTGCTTCTATTTGCGACACATTGAGCGACCGGGGAAGAGGAAGAATTGGTTGCGTTCGATGAATTCGCTGGGTTCCTTCACCATGAGATGTGCCAGACGAGCATGCCGTAAGATGGCTGCTGTCATAAACCCTAGTTATCGGCTCCCCACCGACCACGCGATACGGCTTCGATGCTTCTAGCCTTTGCGCTAAAGTACACAGACTGTGCCCTTCGAACCCAGCATAGCCACGACGATCCGTTCGATTGTTTGACACAGTCAGCTGTGTCCACGAACTCACCGCCATTGATTCCTGCTCCTCGCATTTGACAGTGTATCCGTTTAGTAAGGGTGGTAATACGTTCACCGAGTGGTCTGGGGGTATTGGTTTGCTATCTGATCGAGACGAGCGCTGGAATTGTCAGATCTGGGTCTCGTTGGGCATGAAGAGAGTTGTGCAATGTCGAAATCGTGGCCAAGACCCACCAATGTGGGTAAAGAGTACGAGACCGCTTTGTCTGGTGTCAGCAAAAGCGAATAGGCAGCGCTGTGCCACCACCAAGAACGAAGGAATCGAGAACCTAGTTTTGAGTTCGAGATGAAACAGCCGACAAGAAGCAAAGTTCGAAAGCACACCCATAGAACAAGAACTTGACTACCAGTCCTCTTTCGCGCAGGTTGAAGGAACGCACCGATCAAGCGGACAGCCTGACACGTATATCTTGCTCGCTGGTTCACGAGCAATGATGGCGACGACGGTACAGCTGCAGCATATTCTTGATAAGCGGCTCGAGCGAACAAAAGTGTTTGCATTCGATGTTTGCTGCAAGTTGTTGATATTGATGGTTCGGAAAGATTCTGGGTTGAGTATTATAGACAGGCGACAGCGATAGACATGGGTCTTTCGTCAATGGTAGTGATGAGGGCAGTACAGAATGTCCTTCATTCAAGAACGAAAGACCGCAACAAAGACTCGTAAGAACATGAACGGGATCTGACAATTGGCATGGATCACGCGTGGCAGCCCGAGGGCGAGGGCCTTCTCCTCGTTTTCTGAGAGCGTCGAACTTCGCTGCAGGTCAGATTTTAGTCGACAATGCTGACCCTCAACTGGAACCGGCAGGAGCGGACTCGGAGTCGGGAGGCGGAGACACAAACGGAACCGGCCATCATCGGATCAGACGTGTGCTGACTGCAGCATAGATAGACTAGATCGCAACGTGGTCATCAAGGTAACTCCATTAAGAGCAAAGTCAAGGCAAATCTTATGTGCGTCTAGCGTAGCCCCCAATTCTCTAGATTAATCGCAATCGGGGTTCAATGTGAACACTCTACGAATGCAAGTCGGTGTGGCGCCAGTCCCCCCCACAGTCTTACATTCTACACGCTAGTAGCACAAGTGTCGGAATTCACTAGAAAATGACGATCATGACTTCATTGATTCGGAGCCCTGT